TCAGGGGTTAAAGACTGGAGTGGTAAAACTTCTCATGGGGGCAGGGGGGGGGGCAAAAAAATTTAGCTGGGCAGAACTTTTTGCAGCAAAACAGAAAAAGGCGCCCCGTGACAAAATGTGCACAATTAGAATTGCGCAGTGGGCACAGATGCCGCAGTGTGAATTATTGTGCATGTAATCGAGGAGCAGGGAATGCATACATTTAACGTTACATTGTATGTTAGTTGGCAGTCAACTGGCGTTGCATGCACTGAGAGCCCAATTAATTTGATAGAGCAACCTTCGAATTTTTTTATGCATTTGTTTACCATTCTGGAATCCCAATGTTCACACTGACGTGTTTACGAGGCAGATGCCGAGGTAAAGGGCCCTTGAAAGTCCAACGTCGTTCGAACTCACATGGCGTCACCGCTCGAGACATCTGCCGAGATTTATTGGCCGAAAAATTACAAATGCCGCGAAAGAATCCCGTCACATGTCGGGAAATTAAGTTAAAACGTAGCTTGTGGAAATTCAAAAATCAATTTTCAAACTATTGAATAGTCATCATTATTATGTTACAATTCATTGGCGGTGAAGTGTATTTATTTGCATGCAAACTCAAAATATTCCACGTGGAATTTTACACTGTGTAATTATCATTACTGCTACTATCTAATGCAGAGAATGGTATATCTATTAAATACAAATCTTTATTAATAACGAGAACAGTAATAGCAACAACAAAAAAACTGAAATATTAATTACGACCATAGCAAAACATTATAAAGAAAGTGACATCGTTGCTAGGTGTTGATGATGATTTTTTGTTGTTGTCCCTGGCTAGGCAGCGGTAAGCATGGCAGTGAAGGCAGCCATCAGCAAAGTGAGCAAAACTGCCGGCTGAATCGGAGCGAACGAGCCTGGCATGTCTGCATTCGTGGTGCAATTCATTCGTCGCCATGCCGCGAGTGTGAACGTGACAGCCGCATGCGTGTTGCGCGCGTGCGCGTTGTGCGCGAGTTCAACAAAAACAGAAACGCAAACGGGAGGGGGGAGAGATGGGGTGGGATGAAACAAATGCCACGTGCGCAGCATGTCCGTTTGGCGGGGTTGTTGCGACCGCCGCCAGAGTTGTTGCCGTGTTAATGGGATGGGTAGTGTTAGGCAAAACGGAGATTGCAGAGAAGCGGTCAACGGGGATTGGTCGAGGGGAAAGGGAACGAGAGAGAGAGAGGGGGGGAAAAATAAAACGAGAAAAAGAGAAAAGGAAAAACAGAAATATTGTAAGTAAATGCTTTAAATGAAAAAATAGACAGTTGAATTTGCACAGAGAACACACTATGAAAACAAATGGATATTTCAGGGAGACAAAATGCATTTGTAAAGATGTATTTTTTTTTTTAAAGAGAGAAGGTTAAAACATTTAATAAGGCACGGATCTAAATAAAACACAAGTGTGCCAAACATTCCAGAAGCCTTATGCGGCCAGGAGGACAGGGGGATGGAGAACAAAAAAATGTAGCTACCTGTTCACGTTTCTTTCGCGATAACGCAGTGGGCAAGGACGGCCGGGCTTGGATCCCAACAGAGGTCGCAACCGGGTACCCGATACCCATACCCTGGTGCGGCCGGGTACGGGTACGGCTAGGCCGTGAGTCACTGGTGAGTAACCGTTTGTCACTCATTTCAGTACCCGGCCGGGTACGGGTACCCGTTCCCTACCTGTATCCGTACCCGACCGGGTATGGGTACCCATTTGCGACCCTGGTGCGGCCGGGTACGGGTACGGGTAAGGAATCAAAACCCGTTTGCGACCTCTGGATCCCAATCATCAAACGGTTCAATCGATCCACCCCTAACCACTCACTCCGCTTGGGAGCGACTAAGCGTGCTCGTGATCAGGAGGTCGAGAGCACGTTTTCCGCACGAGATCGGACGAACGCAAACGGCCAATGATGCCGCCGGCTCGCAGCGGCAGCGCTCACCCCCGGTCGAGGAGAGCTGCGTACGTGGCGATCGGACGACGCCGAGATAATTGCGTCCTCCTCCTCCTCCTGAAGGACGTGTTTCCCCAATTGGACTCACGGATTAGAATAGAAGCTGTTGGGTAACCCACCATTATGCCCCACCGCAAGCCATCACGCGCATCTCAATTTTTTGATCTCCTGCCGAGGGAGGCGTAAACAACGGTGGATGAAGAGGCTTGTCTGCCGGTTTCAAACGCACCACCTTGGCCAAGAATCTAACCCAGTGCCGAGGGAGCTAACAACATCTACGTACAAACGATTAAATGTGGGTACGTGTATGTACACATGCACGTAAATACATGAATCTGTAAATACATGGATATGTAAATATACGAATGTGTAAATATATGAAAGGTTCATATACAGAGCCATGAGAGCACAATACACATTGTTGTGTGTATGCATATAATCACATGTGCGCATGTGATTATGCATGCATGTGTTTGTGGTGTGCGAGGGTGGTATTATAGTTCACAGACAGAATAGTAATCAAGATTGTTGTTTTTTTAATTCGTCGTCTAATTTTAGACTAGCCCAACACGTAAAAAAGGACATACAGATAGATAAAAATATATATTTTGATATATTTAATTTAAAAAGTGCACAACATAAAGGCAGTGCAAGTTATCATTTTGTTCACGATTTTCTGATTGTTACCACCATATACGATCATATGCATGTGTATATGCATGCGTGTTGTATATATGTATGCCTATTTGTATCTACCTATGTGTGTATGTATGCGCGTACATAATACACACATACATTCGAATGCGTTCGTATAAGCACAGCAAGCAATACACTTTAACGAAACCGTGTCCGAAACACACATACAGCGGACGTGTACAAATTCTAGAAAACCATTGCTTTTTTATTTACTCCGTCACTGATTAGAGATTGCAATCGCAGGGTGCAGGTGCCATGGTGGAGCTCCAGATGGCGCGACCATCACCCACCGTCACCCACGGCACGAGTGTCCAAATTTTGCACGACAGATGTGGCCCCAGCAGACACTTGGACCCCATGTTCCGGCATAATCAGCTGCCTAATCAGCATTGGAAAGGCAGCACGGGGAGACCGGCTGTTCTAAGTATACACGGGAAACCTTGTTTATCCGCTCGGCAATTATCCACTCATGCAAGGTAGGGTGGGGGGGGGGGAATCGATAGGTGTGATGCGCTGGGTAATTCTGATTACGTACAGGCTCATTGTTATTCATTTTGTGTTTTTTTTTCAACGTAATTGGCCACGTGACGCAGTGGTTGGAACAAGCGGCTTCACAATCTAGAAGGTTGCGAGTTCCCAATCCCAGTCGAGTATTATTAGCTGGGGGGGGGGGTTGATAATGTGCGTGCCACTTTGTGGGAAATCAATAGCGGTTGTGCCATGGGAATGTGGAATTTCCACCGTTGATTTAGGGCTGTAAAGGGCAGATGAGCATTGCCCCGATACTCAAATGAGTGCAATTTCACCAAATTTTACTCCAATTAGTGCAATATCACCAACGTTATAAACGATATTAACGTTTCTCAACGTTATATACAAATCTAATATATTATTTCGAGGTGACCGTGTAACTTAGGGGTCAGGGCGCTGAGACAGGTCCTGTGAGAACCTGGTTTTAAATTCTGGTTTCAGCCACATGTGATTAAACTGGGTTTTCAGTTGTTGCTAGTTACTAGTCTCAGCCCGGTAACCAATCACTGCACAATAATAACAAAAACATCTTTAATCAAATTACGATTTGGATCAATTCCATCTCTGTGAATTTTCCAAGTATATAATTGTTTTGACTTCCATACAACCAACATTTTTCTGTACCAGCGTATGCACGAAAGTGTGACCTCCTGGTGCATGAAGGGATGTCAAGACATAGTTCTGTTACATCTCCTTCTGCAGGCCATTCTCTAACACACCGGTTGGTGATGCCAATGGAGTCTTTGTCTCATACCATTATGCCAATAGCACGTTCGGAATAACATTTGGAAAAAAGACCACAGAAATTAAATGTACATTCATGTTATTGATTTCTCAAAATGTATTTTTGAGTCTGCTTGGATGCATATTCAGTTAATAATGATGAGTTGTGTCTCATTACCATTCCTTTGAGCTATCTTATTAAACGTGGTCATCATTATTTCCACAATCATGTGACTGTGCTTGTGCAGATATTGTTTAATGCATTAGCAGGCAGAGGGGACATTGTGTTTAATTGCCTGCAGAAATTGCATTTCAGAACATGCCTGGATTATAATAAGTGTGAATAAACAAGGTTTCGTAGCACGCAAAGACCCGCCCCCACCCCCCACCCCCCGGTATAGCCTAAATATACTTTTGGGACAAGTAATGTTAGCGAGCACCTAAGAAGGCCCATGCCGCACTATCACACACGCACACACATAGGCGCATGCACGCACAGCACATGCGCGCACAGTGCATGCGTCTATACGCGTCTTTTCAATGCAGGTGAAATAAATTGGCTGCGTAGCTTTTTGTCTCTTTATTTAAACAGTTTGCCTGTCTTCATTTGATTTTAAGTGCCACAGCGCACATTGAAATATACCAATCATTAGAACACATCGTTTTGTGAAAGAAAAGAAAAATCCCGAAACATTTGTTCAATTGGTAATGCCGAGGATTTCAACATGCGTAATGACGGCAATTTAAACCTATGAAACAAAAGTACTCGTGATGATTGATTTGCTTTTCACATTGAATGGAGATTGGGTCCAATTTACAGCGGGGAAAAGCAGGTCGGAAAACACGGCCAGGCTACACGCGCCCACCAAGAAGCGCGCTGACGCTAACACTCGGCGTGGGAACGTTAACGTGCGGTCATCTCATTGTTGCAACCTAAACCTCATCATCTGCGCGCCATGGCAATGCGCAACTTCCACTATCGAGCCGCGAATGCACGCACGCTCGAGCCCATCGCCCCCTTCTCGGCGGACGATGGTCTGACTCACCCGTCACGCCACGCGCGGCCCGTACCTGCGTTGGCTGTTGGCTTGGGTTGGGTGGTGAACCGGTGCTCTGCCGGGTCGGAGTCGCCCTCCTTGTTGATGGCTCTGACGTGCACCTCGTACTCCGTGTTCCACTTGAGCGACGACAGCATGGCGTGCTTGCTGGTGGACGGGGCCCGCTGCTCCAGCCACTCGGCGCTGCCGTCCACCTGCGAGAACCGGCGGCCGTCACTCAGGAACGTTAACCCTGACCGGATGTTATCTGTCTCGCCTGGCATGCGGGAGGTCGTGGGTTCGACCCGACCCTGATGCCCGCCGTGTATTTGGAGTTTGCGTGACCGATGCTCAGAGAGTGGAGCTCATCGCCGACAAGTGAGAGGGCACCTCCGATTGGCGCGGTTGGCTACGTACGATGCGAAAGAAGTTCAACATATATATGTACAGCGCCTGCACTACCAACTGGCGAGCAGAACGAGCAGCGCAGAGTAATGGCGGCGCCAATGGTGGCAAGATGTTAACTACCTCACCTGGTGTACAGGAGGTCGTGGGTTGGATCCCAACCCTGACGCCTGCCGTATATTTATAGTCTGCATGCCTCTCTCCCTGTGGTCGCGTGGATTTTTCTCCGGGTTCTCAGGTTTTTCCCTCCTCATTTAGAATCAATGTGCGTCGAGAGTATTTGGCTGCGATACATTTCCACATCAATAGCCACTTCGTTGAGCTATCATTTGTGGCCAGGTCGTTTCTGACAAAGAGCTATATAGCTCAGTGGACCTTACCTGATAAAATAAAAAATTAGTTTAGTTTAGTTTAATATGACGAAATGGGAGGAGATCTTTGTCTTTTTTTTGTATGCACATGCGAGGAGAGTAGGCATATTGATTATTCCACCGACTGGATTCTGGTTATCTTGGATCAATTCCACATCATCCATACCATTGGCTTCCCCTAAGTCAACTCGGCCTCGTGCAGTGAATGAACATTCGAAATGGAGAGACGGGCGACCGAGCATGCTGCTGAGCGCGGGCGATTTCGTTGCCGCCTGATGCGTCAGCTTTAATGTGCTTGCTATCAGCAATGGAAAAAAATGTGGGTTTTAATCTGATAGGATGACTCCGTGTCCATCGTTAAAATAAGTGAGACGCAGGGGTGGCCAAGCAGTTTATCTGCTGGACATCTGTGAAAAACATCTTCGTAGCTCATGGGATTCGTCTGGCCTAAATAATGGGTCAGAGTTCTGAGCCTGCACAACTGAGACCATGGGTTCAAATCTAAGGTTAGAGCCGCCCGTGATTGTGCCACTTGGTGGTGGTGAAGTCACATGGTGCTTTGTGACAGTTCAGGAGAAGTGCCAAAGGCTCATTGGCAGGAGGTCATGAGACAGGCCCAAGCGCCCTGAGAATGATACATTTAAATTATTATTGTTGTATGGATAAATGACTGAAATCAATGGTAGATGCACTAACTGCCACTCCTTGCTGTATTTTAGCTGCCTGGTGATCTGCTCATTAAACTATATTTTATTTATTTTACCAGGTAAGGCCCACTGACCTATATAGCTCTTTTTCAGATGCGACCTGGCCGCAAGTGATAGCCCAATGAAGTGGCTTATCATGTGGGAATGTATAGCAGCCAAATACTCTAAACGTGTGATGTCGATTCTAAATGTGGATGGAAACACCGGAGGACCCGAAGAAAAATCCACATGACCACGGGGAATACATGCAAACTCCAAATATAAGGCATCGTCAGGGTCTGGATCGAACCCACAACCTCCTGTATACCAGGCAAAGCAGTTAACATCTATCCACCGTAGCGCTCATATGTCCTCCTTTGTTGCTTGAGGGAGACTGCCTACAACTGTCCAGTATCATCTAGTATTAGCCTTCTGCACAGTGGGTGATCTTGACATCACCATTGCCAGTTGTTGACAGGTCCACACATGCGATACACGCACATATACATGTGCCCAAACGCAAAGATTTCCCTACAGCCTTAACAAGCTGTTGGGGCAAATGCTGCTAACAAGTACCTGTGAAGGCTGGCACGAAGCAGTAGGGGGGTGAGTGACCAGTACCATGCCTGGCCACCTTTGTCTCCCCAGTAATGACGTTTTCACACCCCACTAAGCACACATTTTGGGCTGAGTCGACCTAGGAGATGCCCTGGACTAGTTAAGACGTGCGTAGCTGACGTTGGCCGGGTGAAGGAATCGAACTCCACTCGCTGGGCTCGTAATTCAGTGCGCTAGCCACTACACTGCCGCTCTGCACATATCTAATTCACAGTAAACCCTTGGATTGCGAGTAACTTGGTCTGCGAGTGTTTTGCAAGACGAGCAAATTTTTTTAATAAATATTAATTTGATAAACGAGCGAGGTCTTGCAATACGAGTAGTACGTGTATGCGCTTAGGTTTTTTCGGTAAAGTCACGTAGGTAAAAATTAAAAAACAGAAATAAAATAATTTTATTTCTATTATTATTTCTATTTATATTATTTATTATTATTTATTTTTACCTACGTGACTTTACCAAAAAAACCTAAGAGTATGATATACGAGTGCTTTGATATACGAGTGCTTTGGATTACAAACACGTTTTCCGGAACGAATTATGCTCGCAATCCAAGGTTTCACTGTATAGGTATATATACACACACTCACACATGTATACATACCGGCCGATGTTTGACCAGGTAGTGCTGGATGGGGGAGCCTCCGTCATCCTGCGACACCCAGGAAATGACGTAGGAATTCCCGGTCGAGCCGACACTCCCGTGCACCTTGGGCGGGCTCGGCTCTCCTGCAGACGGCAGAGCAGGATAAACACATGTCATACGATACATGCACGCATGTCTGTATGTGTGTGTGTCAACGCTAGCGCGAGTGCATCATTTGCATGTACGGTGGGTATCACAGCAATAAGAATCTTCTTGGTTCTTTCGGTAAAGTCACGTAGAATGGAAATAATTCAGACTCTGTCTTCTCGACAGACCTGTTCTCCACCTGAGGACGGCTGCTTGCGTTGTGGCCGAAACGTCGTGAGAATTATTTAATTATGTTTTATTATTATTATTTTATTATTTCCATTCTACGTGACTTTACCGAAAGAACCAAGAAGACGAATCCCTGCAGTCACGAAAGCTTTAAATAGTTATAAGAATGTTGTATATGAGGGGTGGTTTATTCGGATAAAAGAATTGGTTATCATGGCTGCAGTTGGGAGGTTAGCACAATCAACTGCTCATTGAAGCAGTGGAAAACTGCGATAAGGTTGACTTCAAACGTTCCGTGACCAAATCGTCCTCAATGTGCCTGCTCGTATCTTGGAAGATAGGCAATGTTGGGCTTGGTTTTGTATTCGGATGTGCTGAGTGTCAATTCTCTCGTGTGCCTGGGTTTTCTCTGGGCACTCCCAATTTTTTCTGCCCACCCAGTAAACACTCACGAATAAAACTGGCCAAAAGATAGCAATGCAGGAAATTCCTGAATCGAAACAGTCTTGAGACTCAAGTGAAGCTTTCTTGGTTAAAGACGTGGCGGGATTAAAATACTCCTCACGTTAAGTTTTGAGCAACTTTTAAAACTGTACAAAAACACATGTTTAATCCACACCTCATATTTACGTGTCAATTTACTTGTAAGTATGCACACATTCAGAAGGATCAAAAAGTAAGAGTTAGTTGTTAATGTGAGACTTGCTTCACGTTTGGATCAACATAAAAATCACCCTGGCAAAAAAAAAGTGAATCATCCACGGCTCCATTGCAAAGCTATTGTCACCATCTCACGCGTACCTAATGAGCAATAGCCGCGGTATGACCCATTTTTTTTTTGCTAGATTAAGCCGTAGCGGAATCAAAAACAGACTGTCCCAGAACATTCCGGGCATCAAGGATTCTCAAGATCCGATTCCCGTGCAACATTCCATTTTTAAACGTTTGCCAATGTTTGCGCTAGCCACTCACATTTAATGTTTGAGGGTAATGCTTGTGTAAGATGCTGATTGGTAAACTTGAAAATATGAATTGAATGGTGCTGGGTAATGGAGCTGGAAAAACGCAACACTGTTATTTAGAAAATTTCTTTACAATTTAATGAAAAAAATTAGCAATAATAACTCAACATAATGGAACCCATCAACTGGGAATATCCACAAATTATCACCGCTATTGTAGTTTAATTAAACAAGGCTTGGCATATTATTAAACTGCCGTGCATCAAACGTTAAACTAAAAATTAAAACCATAAGTATCTCTTTTTTATATATATACACACTTTATTTTAAAGCAAGGCGCCACCCAGGGGAAATGTGCAATCCAGAAAGGGTTGGAAAATTCCACGGTAAAATGTTTGGGAGTGCCGAAGGATTGGGATAAAAGAATCGACAGCAAAGGCAGAATTCATTGAGAGAATGAGGCTGCAACGCGACTCAAAACTATGGCAGGGAGAATTGAGGGTTGGGTGTTTTTTTTGTTATCATTTATATTAAGTTCACTTGCTTGCTTGCTTAGGACTGTGCAAATCTTTCGGTCGTTTTTTAACCCACTTCCCGTGATCCAATCGAGCTGACATTTTCCACACAGACTCGTTGTGCGTGACAATTAATGTTCGTGAAAATTTTTTTCCGAAATTTTACACTTTTTAGGACAAAAATATTATATTTAATTACCAATTGCTTAATGGTGCAATGCAATCATCTGACCCATAGGTGGCAGCCATCTCAAGCCAGAGGACGAGAGGACTCTAGCCACCACGCATATAAAGGATTTATAGTGAAAAACTTTGTTTTTACGGGTTATACTTGTTCATTGGCGGGAAGGCGGGGGAATCGTGTGTTATACTTCTAATATCTAAGGACACTTCAAAGCGTATGGTGAGTGGAAAGAAAGGTCATTAATTAAAACGAATGATATTAAATTTGTTTTTGCTTAAAGAGTCATTTTGGAAAAGATCAAAAGAGACTCAAAGTGTGCTCAGAACAGACGCGGGAGAATGTCTGGTCACCCTCGTCTCCAAAGCAACGTGCAAAAAACATTATTTGCTCAATTTAATTAAGAATAGTGGCTAAACTCATCCTAAGGGTGAATAATAACAATGTTAAAATGTTGTATTTTTACACAAAAATTACTTTCAACAGGCGATATTCAATGCACGAGGATTCAAGAATGTGGTGGTGGAAAATATTAAATTCATGTCAACGGAATTATAGCTACTTCATTTGTCCTATATATATAAAAACAATACATTGCTTGTGGAAATAACGGAATTATTTTTCATTAAAAGCAATTTATATTAAAGCAATTTAACATGGAGTTTTGCATAGTAAAGCCATGTAACATCTTGGGAATGTATTTAAATGCTAAGCTGTATTGCAAAATACTATATAATCTTAATATTATGCAAATTATATAAACCTGCCCTCAATGTAACATCAAAGAAAAAAACAGCTTAAGATATAAGAGTATAGTTTAACAGGCATATACAAATATTAAACATAACCGCGCACATGAAAAAAAAACATTTAAAATTAGGTTTTAAATGCGTTAAAATATATAGGCGAGTATTTAATTCATTGACGTCTTTATTTTTTCTATTTTTTTTTACCTCCTGTTTAGCAGCGATGCAGACACCAGGACATCACCATCACCATGACAACGCAAACCATGTGATGGGTCACATGATCACATGATGATTGGTGGTGGTAGGAGGAGGAGGAGGGGGTTGGTTTGGTATATTTTGGAGGTTTGGAACGGCGCATGGGAACAACAAAAAAACACAAAAAAGCAAAGAAACATCAAGCTGGAATGAACAAAGGGTTAACTAACACACACTGGCACTCGCACGCAGGGTACCACAACACGCAGAGAATGATTAACTTGGCAGAATGCATTGAAAGCACGTCTGTCTCGTTCGTTTCGTGCAGCGTCTTTGAGGCGTCGTCGCATTTAAATTGCTCAAAATATATATTTTTAAATATAACACCCAAAATGGACACTGCTCTTGCAAACGAGATGCTCCATCTCAAGGGATTTTCGGCGTAAAATATTTTGCAATAAACAAAAAAATAATGCTGGCATTAGTGCTGCTTTATAAATCATGCCACGCTTTGAATAGACAATGAGCATTCTGTCTCCCACCACCTGAATCTATTTACCTCGAAATCTACCGGTCCATCCTTACAGATTATTAACGCCGTTCAATCTTCCTCCAGCGGAATCCATTAAATTATCCTTATTAAACGCATTTCAACAACGCGAACAACTGTCAATTCGCAGCAACTCATTTTTTTCTGTTAGAGCACAACATATTTGAGTTTGCAAAAAGAGATATATGTAGCAAACAAGCCTTGGCCGAGGAACTGTGGTAACAATAACGCTGCACCCGTTGAAGACAAACGGAGGGAGCAGATGCCATGGGCGTCTGACAAGATCGTTAATATGCAGGTCTTGCCGTGCGGGGCTTTTTCCCTGAGGTACGCAACTGCTGTGTTTATGCAACTGTAACTGAAGGATAACGGGGAATTTCAAGTTTGTTGATCTAAATTGTTGCCTTGCTGAAAGGAAGGGGGCACTGCGTGCATTTATTTTAAGCGACGATTTGGCTCTATGCACAATGCTAGTGGTTACAGGAGGGCAGCTCTAACCAGCCCATACTGGACATGTGTAAAAAAGAGCTTCACGGATCATCGGATTCCTCCAGTCTGAGTAAGGATCCTGATAAAGGTTCTGATGTAAGGCGGGAACAAAGGGCGGAACGGACACTACGCTTTGCAGACTGCCAAGTTAGGTTTTCTCCGGGTGTAGCATTTAAAAAATTATATTTAACACGAACAGTATGCATACGTAAAAAATAAATCTATTTCATACATTGATGCAAGCGGCAGCCAAGCATAAAATGTATTATATTCCATAACTTGTCATTAAAAATAACACATTATGCACATCCTGTAAAATGAACAGCACACACACAACGCAACGCGACAAATTCATTTATATATATTTTTTGTTACACAGAGCGGACGCTGGAGGCCCCTGCGATGCTGACCGGCGCGCACGCAGCTGCACCGTCACCGCATCCCGGACGAAGCTGCATTGCAGCGCTTGCCTGATGAAACCCAAGAATACGCGCATGTGCCACCTATCCCCGAATCCAAACGGAGCACGAGCGGCCAAACTCCATTCAAGCTTGATTTGAAGCTTTCGTGACGGCAGGAATCCATACTCTTTGGTTCTTCCGGTAAAGTCACGTAGGTAGAAAATTAATGGATCGCGACGTTTCGGTCGCTTGAAGACGGTCGCTTGTGTTGCGATCGAAACGTCGTCATCTATTAATTTTCTACCTACGTGACTTTACCGAAAGAACCGAAGAGTATCCATTCAAGCTGTCACACGGCCGGTGGGGGAGGGGGGGGGGACGCTTTGCGCACTCCATCTCAAACTGGCAAGAAGCAACGCGCACCCCGGTTGAATCCAAACAAAAGCAAAACTGTGCAAAAAACAACAATAACAACAACCCAGCAGCACACGCGCACATACACTGAATAGAACCCGCCAAAGCCTTGCGCGGCAGCATTATTCCGAAAGCCGGGGCGACATCAATGTCATCCGTGGAGCAGCCCAAGCCTGGAGACGCCAATTTTCGACTGCATGGCCGCACACTGTCAAAAAAGCCGGCCCAATCCCATGCGTTTGGGTGATTGCCCACGCTCGCAAAGGAGGCATAGCGATCAGCCATACACAGCTGTGCTTCTGAGGCCGTCTAGAACGCTCTCCCTTCCTGATAGTAGGAAGCCACTGGAGC